GTTATTGTGTATTTGTCCTCATCTATGATTTCTAAGAGCATTTCATGTTGTTTCTCAGTTTTACCCTACTTCAACTGACCTAAGTAAAGGGAGTGAAGTCAAACCCTCTTGTCTGCATGGTCATTTTGAAGAGGAGTTTAGTCTGAATGTCGACTCTAGCAAGGCGTTAGAGGCAGAGGACATGACATATATATACCAACAAGACAGCGTACATCACTGTGACAACAGCGTTTGTTTTCATTCTAAGGCTTTATGGTTTGTCCTATAATACCTGGTGGGCCAGTCTCTAGTCAAAATGCCCGGGCCGATGTTTTTGTCCCAGTCCAGCCCTGTTTGCTGGAAATCAGTCTTTTACAGCACTGTGTAGTGTTGTAATTCAACAATATTGGAGGGTTTTTGAGGATGAACCACCTTTCTATGTCAGAAAGGTGGCAAAACAGTCCAGGTGGCCAACCACTGGTCCGGCAGGTAGCAAAGTAACTAAATACACTCTGTATAAAGAATGTAAAAGAACATTTTTGATATTAAGATGGTGAAAACTGTAAAGACTTCAGATTTTATTGCAGTTTAGCCAAACCTGAAAATGGTTTAGATTGTTGGAGTGTCTTTTGCAAAGGTGACTGTGTTATGAAAAACTGTTTGGAGAAGTGCAGGAAGAGTGGTGAGAATTATTTTTCTGCTGTGAGAAATGAGCCAAAGTGGTTAAGAAAAAGTGAAATCATCTCATTTTTAAAGTGAACACAAAGCATCGTCAGATTCTTTTAGTGTCTTCTTAAAAAGACTAAAACTAATAATTAAATATCAAAAATATCAAATAACAGAATAAACAGCAATTATTATCCTGGAACAGGACAGTCTGAGGTCCAAATGTTTTAGATCTCAGTGATATTGTTTCATATTTTTATGTAAACCAAAGAATGAGAAATTAGAAACATTAAAAAAAACAAAGTTGTGACAGACTGCAGATTCATGAATTTTCACTAATTTGCTCAAAGACTGTCCAGAGCTAACACTGTGTCCAACTCACCAATGCTGAGAGAGCTGAAGAACTCTCTATGTTAAAATATGTTTAATTTAAAACACTTCTTAAATAGAGACATAAATGGTAAAAATGTTTATCAAGAACAATTTATTTATAAAAGCAGGAATAACATTTGGATTCATAGCAGTATTATTTGTGTGGTAGTTCCTCACTGTGGCCCCTGGAGGGCAGTGAACTCTCATCACAATCTACAGTCAACAGGACAAAAACACCACAGAGCAGTTTCTGTTCAAACATTCTGCATTAAAAGTATTTATTAAGCTGTAAGCGACGATATGACAATAAAATAGTTTCATCACAAAGTAAATCAAACAGGGGAAATTCAGACGATGATGTTTCAGGAGTAACTATCAGATCACCTGATCTGTAAACAGTGATGACATCACCAAATCAGACAAAGGATTAAAAAAACTTCAGTAGCTCTTCTACGCAGTTTATATCTGAATAATAACATCACATTTGTTCCTGTATTGATGTGATGAGAAGATATGATTCCTGCTGAGGCCTCTGATACATTTATCAGCTATAGTAGGATAATGGCTCAAATGTGCAGCTGCAACATGATTTGGTTTCAGTATATTTATATTTAATGATTTAAACTAATTTCATTTGAACTTTAAGTTTCATTCATCTTTTACTTTCAAATTCACACTGATGTGTTCAGCCTAAAGCTCTTTCAAACACCCTCTGAGCATCATCAGCAAGCTTATCAAGGATCAATTTCAGAATTTTGTAAGTTGTGGTGAAAGAGCGACCCGCTGATACTAGAATTCCAATAAATGGAATCCATCTGGACACTTCCTCTGCTACAATTAATGCAGCTACGGACCCAAGTTGGGCTATCACCTTCAGGAGGAGCTCTTTAGTTATTTTTGCT